TGGGGATGCCCCGGAAGGCATCCCCTCTTTCGTCTTTGTCTATCGGTAACTTTACTTGGAGCTATATTTTTTATTCGCCACATAATATGTGTTTTGCTTGGAGCGTCTTGTATGATATTAGTCTTTGCTTTTTAGTTTACCACAATCATCCTTGTTGTACACACCTTTTGGGAGAAACCCACTTGATTTGTAATTTATTAGAATACTCTATGTGCTTCACTTTTATCTTTTGAGCTAGATAGTTTTTGCTCTAGTGCTTCACTTATATCTTTTAGAGCACGACGATGGTTTGATTTTGTAGAAATTGTTGATCTCTCATGCTTCACTTATATTATTTTGAGAGTCTCTTAGAACAGCATGGTATTTGCTATGTTATAAAATTGGTCCTGGAATGATGAGCAACCAAGTTGGGTATAATAAAAACTATCATAGAAAGTGAATTGGATGATATGATCAATTTGATGCTTGATAATTTTTTGAGATATAGAGGTGGTGATATTAGAGTCATGCTAGTTGGGTGATTGTGAATTGAATGAATACTTGTGTTGAAGTTGGCAAGTCCCGTAGCATGCATGTATGGTATTATGTAAGAAATTTATTGCATGGAGTGCTCTTTTGATTGCCTTCCCTTGTGCGGAGGTCGGGGGCGCGCGATGGTTAACTCCTACCAACCTCCCCATAGGAAATTGCGTAGTAGTACTTTGCTTCGAGGGCTAATAAAACTTTTGCAATAAGTATATGAGTTCTTTATGACTAATGTGAGTCCATGGATTATACACACTTTTATCTTTCCATCATTGCTAGCCTCTTCGGTACCGTGCATTGCCCTTTCTCACCTTGAGAGTTGGTGCAAACTTCCCTAGTGCATCCAAACCCCATGATACGATACGCTCTATCACACATAAACCTCCTTATATATTCCTCAAAATAGCCACCATACCTACCTATTATGGCATTTCCATAGCCATTCCAAGATATATTGCCATGCAACTTTCCACCGTTCCGTTTATCATGACATGCATCATCATTGTCATATTTCCTTGCATGATCATGTAGTTGACATCGTATTTGTGGCAAAGCCACCATGCATAATTTTTAATACATGTCACTCTTGATTCATTGCCCATCCCGGTACACCGCCAGAGGCATTCATATAGAGCCATATCTTGTTCTAGTTTTGAGTTGTAATTCATGAGTTGTAAAGAAATAGAAATGTGACGATCATCATTATTAGAGCATTGTCCCCAATTAAAAAAAAGAAAGGCAAAAAAGAAAAAAAGGGAAAAAAAGGAGAAAGGCCAAAGAAAAAAAAGGCCCAAAAAAAGAAAAAAAAGAAAAAAAAATAAAGGGGGCAATGTTACTATCCTTTTCCACACTTGTGCTTCAAAGTAGCACTATGTTCTTCATATAGAAAGTCTCTTATGTTGTCATTTTCATATACTAGTGGGAATTTTTCATTATAGAACTTGGCTTGTATATTCCTACGATGGGCTTCCTCAAAACGCCCTAGGTCTTCGTGAGCAAGCAAGTTGGACGCACACCCACTTAGTTTCTTTTGTTGAGCCTTCTTACATTTATAGCTCTAGTGCATCCATTGCATGGTAATCCCTACTCCTCATGTTGACATCAATTGATGGGCATCTCCATAGCCTGTTGATTATCCTCGTCAATGTGAGACTTTCTCCTTTTTTGTCTTCTCCACACAACCTCCATCATCATATTCTATTCCACCCATAGTGCTATATCCATGGCTCACGCTCATGTATTGCGTGAGAGTTGAAAAAAGCTGAAGCGCGTTAAAAAGTATGAACCAATTGCTTGGCTGAAACCGGGGTTGTTCTTGATGGGAGTATTTTGTGTGATGAAATTGAAACATAGCCTAACTATATGATTTTGTAGGGATGAACCTTCTAATGCCATGTTATTTTGAGAAGACATGATTGCTTAGTTAGTATGCTTGAAGTATTACTATTGCTTATGTCAATATGAACTTTTATTTTGAATCATTTGGATCTGAACATTCATGCCACAATAAAGAAAATTACATTGAGAATTATGCTAGGTAGCATTCCACATCAAAAATTCCGTTTTTATCATTTACCTACTCGAGAACGAGCATGAATTAAGCTTGGGGATGCTTGATACGTCTCCAAAGTATCTATAATTTTTTATTGTTCCATGCTATTATATTACCCATTTTGGATGTTTATGGGCTTTACTTTACACTTTTATATCATTTTTGCGACTAACCTACTAACCGGAGGCCCATCCCGAATTGTTGTTTTTTTTGCCTATTCTAGTGTTTCGAAGAAAAGGAATATCAAACGAAGTCCAAACAGAATGAAACCTTCAGGAGCGATCTTTTTGGAACAAACGCAATCCAGGGGACTTGGAGTGGAAGTCAAGCAAAAAGCGAGCCGGCCACGAGGGTGCCCAACGCGCCGCCTGGGGGTGGGCGGGCCCCCCACCCTCGTGGGCCCCTCGAGCGTCCACCGACCTACTTCTTCCTCCTATATATACACCCGTACCCTGAAAACATCAAAAGCGACCACGAAAACCTAATTCCACCGCCGCAACCTTCTGTATCCGTGAGATCCCATCTTGGTGCTTTCGCCGGCGCTCCGCCGGAGGGGGAATCGACCATGGAGGGCCTCTACATCATCTCCAAGGCATCTCCGATGAGTTGTGAGTAGTTTACCACAGACCTTCGGGTCCATAGTTATTAGCTAGATGGCTTCTTCTCTCTCTTTGAATCTCAATACAAAGTTCTCCTCGATCTTCTTGGAGATCTATTTGATGTAACTCTTTTTGCCGTGCGTTTGTCGAGATCCGATGAATTGTGGGTTTATCTATGAGAAATATTTGAATCTCCTCTGAATACTTTTATGTGTGATTAAGTTATCTTTGCAAGTCTCTTCGAATTATCAGTTTGGTTTGGCCTACTAGATTGATCTTTCTTGCAATGGGAGAAGTGCTTAGCTTTGGGTTCAATCTTGCGGTGTCCTTTCCCAGTGACAGCAGGGGCAGCAAGACACGTATTGTATTGTTGCCATCGAGGATAAAATGATGGGGTTTATATCATATTGTATGAGTTTATCCCTCTACATCATGTCATCTTTCTTAATGTGTTACTCTGTTCTTCATGAACTTAATACTCTAGATGCAGGCAGGAGACGGTCGATGTGTGGAGTAATAGTAATAGATGCAGAATCGTTTCGATCTACTTGTCACGGACGTGATGCCTATATGCATGATCATGCCTAGATATTCTCATAACTATGCACTTTTCTATCAATTTCTCGAGAGTAATTTGTTCACCCACCGTAATACTTATGCTATCTTGAGAGAAGCCACTAGTGAAACCTATGGCCCCCGGGTCTATCTTTTATCATATAAGTTTTCATCTACTTTTATTTGCATCTTTACTTTTCCATCTATATCATAAGAATAGCAAAAATATTTATCTTATCTTATTATCTTTATCAGATCTCACTTTCGCAAGTTACCGTGAAGGGATTGACAACCCCTTTATTGCGTTGGTTGCGAGGTTCTTATTTGTTTGTGTAGGTGCGTGGGAGTTTTGAGGAGCCTCCTACTGGATTGATACCTTGGTTCTCAAAAACTGAGGGAAATACTTACGCTACTTTACTGCATCACCCTTTCCTCTTCAAGGAAAACCAACACAGTGCTCAAGAGGTAGCAAGGCCGAATACAGAGCAGTTGCAAATGTGGTGGCTGAAACATGTTGGTTACGGCAACTTCTTCAGGAGCTTCATCGACCGGTGACTGGTGCCACTGTGGTTTTTTTGTGACAATGTGAGCTCTTTTTACATGACACCGAATCCCGTTCATCATCAGCGCACCAAGCATGTGGAGATCGATCTATACTTTGTACGAGACCGTGTCACCACAGGCGAGGTCCGGGTTCTTCACGTTCCGAGTTCTTCTCAATTTGCGGACATTTTCACCAAAGGATTGCCATCACCTCTCTTCTTGGATTTTTGAGACAGTCTTAACATTCGTCGACGCCCGTTTACGACTAAGGGAGGGTGTTAGAATATATAACCGTATTGTATTTGTATAGACATACAATTGTATATGTGTAGTCCTTGTATAGGTGTCTGTGTATTGCACGATACGAACTCTGCCTTGTAACCTCTATATATTGACCAATACAAGGCACCACAGCGAGTGGTTTCCCAAAACTTACAGGTTCCACACTTTATTTTGGTGTAAACATGCATGTGTAGGCTCTTGTGGAGAACCTGGTAGAGAACACCCCTCTTCACCATAACCTCGACTCTACACCTGTGTTTGTGATTTTGTTGTGCAAGTTTGGGATCTTTTGTTGGATAGGTTAACTTTTGATGCAAGTTTTTATTGTGTTGCACCAATATAACTTCAGCTAATCTTGATCCGTTGTTGCATCTTGTCGACACATGTGTCGTAGTCATTTTAATTTCTTACTGTTGCATGCATGTAATATTTTGTGTTAAGAGAAATGTTAGATTGTTATTGTTGCATATATGCAACATTTCTGTTGCATATATTTGGGTTTCGTTGCATAGTTTTTTGTTTGATCTTTTGTGTTTAGCTTGTGCGCGGCCTCTGATTTCGTGTTGAATTTTGCAGAAGCCGGCGATTCGAGTAACTTTGATTAATGGTGACCATACCTGTCAGTTGCTAATAACGCTAGCTAGCCCACTTGCTAGACAAACATCGCTACAACAGCAGTGCTATGCGGACGACACAATTCAGACGATGCACACACGACACATAAATCCAACCGAACATGCGCATGATAAGCAGGGTACCGGCCGCTGGATTTTCAGGTCGTGCATAGGTCGGGCAGAAACATCGTCTGTGGAGCAGTTTCGTCGCTACAAATACTGCCGGCAGGTCACTAGCTCCGGCCGGCGACCACCGAAGTCTAATCAAGTTACCAAGCTACCCATCATCTACCTCAAAGAAACAAGAGCCACCGTACGTAGCAAATTTCCATGGAGAAACCCAAGAGATCAAGCCAGCCATCACACAGACGATTCGAGTCGCTGGACGTCAAGAGGTCGTCTTCTTCGCTCAACATGTCCACGTCCTCTCTCAGGAGCATCAACGAGGAGGACAGGGGGGCTGCCGCCGCCCATGCGGGCAGGAGGCCCACCGTCGTGAGGTTTGCTCCCACCCCTACACCTCCGCGACCGTCGTCGTCGTCGGGGACGAGGAGGGGCTCGCGTTTGGCGCCACAGCAGGCGCCCAAGGCGAGGCCTGCAACTGCAGCCGTGCGCCCGGCTTCGCCTTCCGGAACGAGGCCGGCCAGGTCGTCGCCTGCGGAGTCTGGACCGAAGGCGACGAGGAGGAGCTGGGGGTGCACGGGGAGCGCGGGCGATCAGAAGGAGAGGGTGACCGGTGACGTGATCAGCGGGGAAAGGAGCAAGGGGGCGGCGGCGACGCTGGTGCGGAGTTCCTCGGTGAGTTCGTTCGGTGTCAATGGCAGGCACCCCCGTTAAATCTTTTGTCATTGTTTAATTTATATTTTTACAGAAATCTAACCCACCATGTCAGGAAAAAAATCGTGCCCACCTCTGCCCTCTTTCTTCCAGAGAAAGGAAAATTTCTGTTAGTGTCACAACATGAGAGTTTTGAGAATATTCCAAGAACTTAGAAGGCACTACTGTCTATTGTCCTGCAAAATCTCCCGTTTTGTACAAACACAATACGAGTATCATTTTCCCTGACGCATTGCACCAGAAATCTGAGTGCGTGCAAGTTTTCTCCACTTCTCCATCTCTGTTCAATTCCACTGAAAATGCAGAGAGTTGAGTCACATAATTGCAGTTTCATGGGCAAGCACAACACTCGTCACAGTCATCAGTTATCAGTTCACTTATGAGAAGTTATATTCATTTGCATCTTTAGTACCTAAATACAGTACTTTCCTTGTTGCCAGATTTGTACAAATGATGTCCTAGGTGAAAGTGTCTGTACTTCCTCTGTTCCAAAATAGAAGACATTCTAGAAAGCGTGCAGCTTAAAAAAAATGAGTGGAGCTTTTTTTCCTTTGATGAGGTGAAAATAATATCATCATAACTGCTCTAACTTCTTTTCCATAATATCATAGTTTTATAAAATTTTATCGATTTTGTGCAAAATGTAGGGCCAAACTTGTATATTTGAGATTGTGCAAACTTTAAGACATCGTCTATTTAGAAATGGAGGGGTTGCATTTTCTTCGAAAATTTTCTTTCATCAGTGATAGCTTATGAAATGGTACTCCTACTATTGTTATTGGCAATTTCACATCAAGCATTCCCTTTCTCCATGACAAGGTGGCACTGGTTGGTCTGCGGTGAGTGGTGACGCATGTAACTTTTCTTGAGATGGACATCACAACTATTTTCCTAACCACGGCAGTCACTAGGCTTCTAATGGCAAGTTGTTATGATTACTATAATCGAGTGATTCACCTTTTGCTGATTGAGAGCTCGTCTTTGAGTGAAACTTAAACAGAATTAGGTGCACCTAATAAGATTCACGGTTGTGTGCCAAATCTCTGCCTTTTCATATGGTCGTTTGGCTACAACAGCCAATTTGTCTCTTCTTCAGTGAATCATCTTTTGCAATTCGAAGCTACCATGGCTGTCAGGAAACAGAGCGAACTTGAGGGTAGTAACTTCTTCCATGTAAAATGCCGAAAAACATTGTTCTCCCTCTGATCAATATTAATTGTCGCAACTTTAGCACAACTTTCGTAGATTTTGAGTTGAAGAGTTTTGTGTTCTACTAGTGAGACATGATCATACGTGGTTTTTTTTGCGGGGGACATGATCATACGTGTTAAAAAGAGACGATTGCTACATACATTGTTGATCACAGTGAAAGCTGAAATAGCATTTTGATGTATACAGTACCTGCTAATACACTCAGGTTCCAAGAAGCAGAAAACCGGCAGAGGAGAAACCACTGCAGAAAAGGGAGAGCAAGACCAATATCATCTCCAGGACTAAGCAAAGACCCACTCCATCTCCTGAACCAGATGTTCTCCACAAGCCCGGCGCGCAGAGAAGCCCCAGCATTGCCGCCAAGACGAGCGAGAAGCGACCTCCCACTCCCGGCGGTGCATCGCCGGACGACATGGTCAAGGTTTCTCCTCCCCGTTCGACATCGGCGACGACGATGGGCGCCTCATGGGAGTCGCTTCCACCGGCCCTCCAGACTCTCGGATCGGTACAGTTCGTTCAGAAACTTCTGTTTGGATGCGTCAGGATTGTCCTGTTTTAAGTTGCAAATTTTTGCCTAGTTCTCAAAAATGGTGTTGTACATGACCTGTAGGGAGTCATGAGTTATAGGGATGCTGCAGAGATGGCTGCTGTGGAGGCCATGCAGGAAGCTTCTGCTGCAGAGATTGTGCTCAGATGTCTCAGGTGATCTGCTCTTCAGTCTTTAGGATATGTACTAGTAGTTTTCAAAATATTTCAGTATGTACCAAAATGAATGAAATTTTCAAAATTTCGGTGAAATCACACTGAAGGTAAAACCATAATATGAGAACGAACTGACCAGATTTGCTTTACACAGTGCCTTCGCGGATTTGGCCGCCACCGCCGGCAAGCAGTCGCCCCAGCACACCGTCGACGAGTTCCTCGCGCTCCAAGCCGCGATCACCCGCTCCACCGCCGCTCTCGGCAACCAGCAACGGAGTGGCCACGCCGGCGAGTGGCTGCACGCGGCGGTCACCGCCGACCTGGCGCCTTTCTCCCTCTACACCGCCTCGTCGTCGTCCAGGAAGCGCGGCACCGAGTCGCCTGCCGTCTCCGCCTCGCCGAGGCCGGTGGCCGCCGCGGCGGAGGCCGCCACCTGGCTGGAGACCGCGGCGAGGGAGCTCGGGGAGGAGATGTGCGCGTGGTTTGTCGGGCACGTGGACCGGCTGCTCGAAGCCGACGTGGCCGGGACGCTGGGGCAGCTCAAGAGGGTCAACGACTGGCTGGATGACGTCGGGCTGCGGACGGCGGCCGTCGACCGGCTGAAGGAGAAGATCTTCGGGTACCTGCTGGATCACGTCGAGTCGGCGGTGGTCGCGTTAAACGGCGGCGTTGCATCCAACCGGAGAAAATAGACGAGTGTGTATGTTGTGCCGGATCAAAGCTAAAATGTACGCAAATGATAAATGTCACATGTAAGGTATTAACACAGACGTTTTTAGGCCCTCAACTATGTGATCGGTGCGAACCAATCTGTGATTGGATGGTTTGAGAGACTGTGATATGCCCAGTCCATCAGGGTTCAAATCTCGGGGCTCGCATTTATTCCTGAATTTATTTCAAGATTTCCGGTGATGCGCATTCAGTGGGAGGAGACGCTCCCGTTGACGATGAGGTGCCTACGGTGACTTTGTAAATTTTAAGATGATATGCCGACTCAGTCTTTCGGAGGTGCTCATAGGGGTAGGGTGTGCCTGTGTGCGTTCATAGGGATGAGTGTATGCGCGTGTATATGAGCGCTTGTGTTTGTACTGATGTTCAAAAAGAAAAACTATGTGATCGGTGAACTAAAAAAAACTATATGATTGGTGACACATTTTTGTAAAGCGAGCCACGTGTAGGCAAATTGTAATCGAACATTTTTTTAGCGTCGGGCACAGAATGTAGAAGATTTGGCATTGTCCAGTTCGGACCCACATACATATAAACAAGTAATATAGTAGCCGAGCTTACCTAACCACCAGTGTCTCGGGTTGTTTCTTTGCGTGAGAAAGGACATCGCTCGTTTAGTTTATTGGACCCAGGAATATGGCATCAAAGCAAGTTGATGCATCGATGCCCGGAATTTTTAGTTCGGCACCGGCTGGACAACATAGGGCACCGATGCCAAATGTCCAAAAAGCAAATTTGACACCCATTTTGTCTTACATAGTGAAGACCCTACAACTAAAATTGTCATCCGAAAAAAAGTCAAAAGAAAACAGAAACTTGTCATCAAACAAAAAATTGCCATGCTTCACAACTAAAGTTGCTATCAAAAAATCTCAGGATGGAATTGCTTCATGTCACACATGTGGTACTTAGAGCATCTCCAACAGTGGCTGAAAAAACACGCGTGCGCGGTAAAGTGAGATTTTAGCGCGCGTGGGGCGGTTTCGCCCTCCAGCGTGGCGGCAGAATTAGGCGCGCGGGAAACGATCACGCGCACGGGGAAAAGTGGGCGGTCGCGCGCTAAATTTGGTGCGCCGCTTCTATAAAATGAAGCGCCTGCCACGCACTGTTCCATCGCTATCCACATCGCCACGCGCCCTCTCCCGCTCTCTCCCCGCTTTCTCTGCCGCTTTCTCGCCTCGCCGCTGACGCGCCACCATGCCGTCGGGCCGCCGGGGAGCTTCGGGCTACCGCGGTGTGCGCCCCTCCAGCACCTTCTATGCTGAGATTCGGTCCGGCGACGTGCACCTCGACCTCGGCACCTTCGACACCCCCCACGAGGCCGCCCGCGCGTACGATGCGGCGGCGTGGCGGCTCTCGAGGCCTCACGCACAGATGAATTTCCAGGACGTCTTGACGCACGAGCAGGTGCAGGATCCTCGCCCCTTCGCTGTGGCTAGTAACTGACGCCGACCATCAGGAACACCGTCGGCAGCAGCGCCGCCTCCTCGTCGCTGAGGCGAACGAGCGAGCCACGATGGAGTGGCGCCAGCGCCACCCAGAGGACGTCACCAACGAGAACGCCTTTTGGGCCGAGAGGAGGGCAAGGCGGCGCGCGGAACGGGCGGATAGGCGTCGTCGGAAGGCACTGGCGATATCGCAGTGCGATCTGGGACAGGCGTCATTCTTCTTTAGCGATGATGAGCGGTGGGTAGACGCGTTTCTTGGGACACAAGCGAGGAGGAGGAGGACGATGACTCGGGGTAGTCTTCGTAGTTTCTAGTTTGTGATGTTTGGTTGAACTTTGCTATTTGTATCGGACTAGTTTGTGTTGTTTGGTTGAACTTTGCTATTTGTATCGTTGATGAATTATCTATTTGGTTTGAATTAGTTTGTGTTCTGTTGCTCGCTTGCGCCTTTTTTTTGCGCCTTTGTTGGAGCGGGCCGCGCGCGCAATATTTTGCAGCCGCTGTTGGAGCCAGTGCCCTGCCGCGCGCAAAAAACCGCTATTTCTGTGCGCAAAAAACTGTTTTAGCGTGCCGCTTGTTGCGCGTCTGTTCGAGATGCTCTTATCAGGGTCCAAAATGTAACATTGTGAATTCGATTTATGATTCACTTATACTTAGGGACATTATTATCCATTGATATAAGTAATTACCACCTCATCGATCTGAAAACTATCATGAATAAATAATGTATACTCCTTAAATGAAACCACGACAAGAATTACGAAACAAAGAGATACTAAAACTGAGCAGACATTAGAAAAGATATTATGCAAGGCAATGAGGTTCATGTGTAGTTTTATTTTGTCTCTCCTCTTCCTCCCTCATCAACATCAACAAAAAATTTGTATGGCAAGATAAAACCCCCTCGCTCGTGTCACTCCTAGGGGATGTCACAGGTGAATGCTAGCCGCCTGCCGCCCCGACCTCTTCCTCCTTCTTTGCCCTCCTCGTCGTCACGTGAAAAAGCTGGTGAGCAGTGCCCGCTCGATGGACAATGGCGGCAGGGTCTCAATCATCACAAGGCATATTCACTTCTGCCTATGGTGGCGTGACTCGACATCGACTACGGGTTCCTGATGAGGGGATGTTGGGGCATGGTGGGTGGTGTTTCTCTCCTCTCTCAATTGAGAGTAGGGCGAAGTGACGCTTGCGCGATTAGATGTGGTGGCATGGTGTCCAGGGTGTGTGGATGCAACACCCCCGCGTACGAACTTGATGGGGCGACGAGGTTTGCCAAATCATGCAGATTTAACGAGGTGCACCGGGCATCAGCCGGTCTCGTGGAGAGATTGCACCTAGCGTGTCACTTCTCTCTCGCGCGCTGCTATCGGCGAATGTTATCGAGAGTGGATCTAGCTCGATTGTGGGCTGGAGTAGTCCACCTTTGGGCATGCACATCCCAGTTAACACATCTAGCACCAACAGTTGTTGGCCCCTATCATGGCTATGTGATGATGACATGTACCTAGGGTAGGGTCTTAGGCCTGACCTAGACTCCCTACCCAGGGACACTACCCTAGAGTCAAAAACATTCAAAGTCCAATGGAGGATACCGACTGAAACCACCTTGAAGTGCAATCCACTCGATAGAAAATTCCACTTGGATACCCCAATTCCACTCGACCATAATAAAGTCACTCGACCATATGAAGAATCACTCAGAGTACAGAAGATCTAAAGCCACCCTAGGATGGCAACGGCTAGGCGTTCACTCTGTAGTCATAAAAGATCATTAATAGCTGGCGTTACCAGTAACGCCTTTGTCTTAACTCACATTGAACCCTGTGTAACTGAGGGCTGCGAGGGTCCTGGCGCACTCTATATAAGCCACCACCTCCTCAAGCACAAGGGTTCGCACCCCCTGTAACTTCCACGCATAATCCAGTCGACAAGCCTCCGGGCACCGAGACGTAGGGTTGTTACCTCCTCTGAGAGGGGCCTGAACTCATAAACTTGCATGTACAACCTCACCATAGCTAGGACCTTGCCTCCTCCTACATACCCCCTACTCCTACTGTCAGACTCACTCCCACGACAGTTGGCGCCCACCTTGGGGCCAGCGTCTGAACGACTTCCGGTGAGGTTGAAAATTTCGTTCTCCATCAACATAGTTTCTGGTGGTGGTTTGGCTTTAGGGCGCGAGATCCATCTCGGCGCGCTCGTCTTCATCGCCGACGACTCCGCGTGGCTCCAAGAAGCTCCCCTTAACGTCGAGGCCCTCCCTGTCCGTGGGGTGGCGCACTTCCGTGCGAGTGCCTGCGGCGTCCTTCTTTGTTAGTCGTCGACCCAGTATCGGTCGGCTCCTGTTGCATCCGCCCGCCATTGCAAGCGGTCCGGCCGTTCACGGCTCCAATGTTGGGTGAATCACGCGGTGGCTCGCCAATCGACCACCCTTCAAGTCACGACAATCGAGCCCGATGAATCCCTTTACGATCTATTTGATCTACCGACTGATCACTTGGATTTGCTTTCCGAGTGCGAAAGCAAGATCCGGCGACAGAGGTCCTCATGGTCGACTCCCAGTGCAGTCCGTCCGGATTTTGTCGCAGCGGCGGTGGCCGGGGCGGTGGCGGGGGCCCGTCACAAGATCATGACGAGTACATCCCTGAAGCCCTCACTGTGGAGCAGAGGGAGGACCTGCATCGTCGCAACGTCCAGGCGCTCCAGATCCCCATTATTGGGGAGACCTCCGAGGCTCGGGCCTTGGAGGTTGCGCGCTTGGCCACCTTGGCTGAGCATACGCGTTTGGAAAATCTGCAGAAGGCACTCGACGAACGCGCTCGTCAGCGGATCCTTGAATCCAGTCGACGTGCACGATAGCTATTCCCAACTGAACCTCAGGTATACCATACTCCGATCCAAAATGTTGCAGTAGCAGCATGGATAGCAGAGCCAATTCAGCTCTCACGTTCAGAAGTTGGTGAACTCTGCTGTCTCCCAGTCGTGCAACAGAATTCATAGTAGGTCTATGGTTGCAGACACAGTTCAGTCGGCACACAGTCCGAGGTCGCCCCGGCAGCGTGAAGATCGTGGTCCCCGTCAGGATCAGTGCCTGGGGCAAGGCCACAGACAGTATGATCATTAGTTTCCCCGTGATGACCACCGTCGTGTGCCTATTCCCCTTCCAAGGGGCGGGTCGTACGCGCCCCGGCGGTATGACGACAGGCGCTCATATGGTGATGAGCGGAGAGCCCCAGTCAACCCAAGAGAGTCGGGGTTCGATGTGAGGTCACTCCTTGTGCAAGGTTTGGTCAACCGAGGTCGAGCAAATAGAGAAGGGCAAGACAGAGATTGTCCGATTGGAAGCAGAGCATTTGTTTCTGGGCCCGAGTGTTTCAATATGGCCATCCGATCGGCTGAGATCCCTCCCAACTTCAGGTTGGCTACGAGCGTGAGCAAGTTCACCAGAGAGTCAAAGCCGGACACTTGGCTGGAAGATTACCGAGTGGATGTGCAGATTGGTGGAGGTAATGATG